ATAATTTCAAAATCCTAAAATATTAGAGCACTTTCCAGAAGTTCCGGGAGCTGCACAGAAGTTCAGGGAACTTCCCATAAATTTTGAGTACTTCACAAAAGATCAAACGACTTGCCAAAAGTTCTGTGCACTTCTTACAAATTTCGAACACAACGAGATTGTCTAGATCTCAGAACGTCCCAGAAATCCCGAAAAAATTTCCCAGAAGAACTGCGAACTTCTTAGTTGATCCGAGAACTTCCCAGAACTTCCTGAAAGCTTCTTTCCACAAATTCCAAGAGCTTCTTCTAAAATCCTTAAACTTCCCAGAAAAATCCGAGCACTTCGCAAAAATTCCAAAAATATTAGAGCACTTTCCAAAAGACCCAGGAGCTGCACCGAAGTTCACGGAACTTCCTATAAATTTCAAGAACTTCACAAAAGATCCAGTGACTTTCCCGAAACTCTATGCACTTCTCACAAATTCCGAATACTACGAGATGTTCTAGATCTCAGAGCGTCCCAGAAATTCTGAAAATTTCCCAGAAGAGCTTCCACCGAGGCAGCTTGGCATTTTATTTGATTGGATCTCAGTGAAAAACTTGCCAAGATTCAGCTAAAAACAGAAGTATTGCCGAGATCTTTCAAAAAAAAAAAACCCGAGACTTTCCCAGAAAATCTCAGACTTCTTAGAAATTCTAGAAACTTTCTAGAAAATCCAGGAATTTCCCAGATATTCTGAGAGCTTTCCACAAATTCCGAGAGCTTCTCTTGAAATCCTAGAACTTCCCAGAAAATCCGAGAGCTTCTCAAAAATTCCAAAAATATTAGTGCACTTTTCAGAAGTCCCGGGAACTGGACTGAAGTACAGGGAACTTCCCACAAATTTCGAGGACTTCACAAAAGATCCAACGGCTTGCCAGAAATTCGGTGTACTTCTCACAAATTTCAAGTACTACGAGGGCTTTAAGATCTCGGAACGTCCCAGAAATTCCAAGAGTTTCCCAGATGACGTTCAAACTTCCTAGCTGATCGTAGAACTTCCCAGAAATTCCTACAAGCATTGATTCTTTTGCCGAGATGGGCACCAACAAGAAGTTCAGGATTTTATTTTACTGGATCTCAGAGAAAAAATTGCCTAGATTCAGCTAACAGACGGGAATTTTGCTGAGATCATTCCAAAAAAAACCTGTGAGTTTCCCAGAAATTCTAGAAAATTCCTAGAAAATCCTAATCCAGAAGTTCTGAGAGTTTTCCACAAATTTAAAGAGCTTCTCTAATAATTTTAGAACTTCCCAGAAAATCCGAGAACTTTTCAAAAATTCAAAACATATAAGAGCACTTTCCAGATGTCCCGGCAACTAAACAGAAGTTCCGGGAATTTCCCACAAATTTTGAGAACTTCACAAAAGATCCAACGACTTGCCAGAAGTTATGTGTACTTCTTTCAAATTCCGAGTACGAAGTCTTATAGATCTCGGAACGTCCCAGAAATTTCAAGAGTTTCCCAGAAGACCTTCGAACTGCCTAGCTGATCCGAAAACTTCCCAAAAATTCCTACAAGCTTCGATTTTTTTTTGTCAAGATGGGCATCACCACGCAGCTCGGCATTTTATTTTGCTGGATCTCAGTGAAAAACTTGCCGAGATTCAGCTAACAAACGGGAATTTTGCCGAGATCTTTCCGAAAAACCCGAGAATTTCCCAGAAGATCTCAGAACTTCTCAGAAATTCTAGAAGCTTCCTAGAAAATCCAAGTATTTCCCAGAAATTCTGAGAGTTTTCCTTAACTTTCGTGAGCTTTTCTAAACATCCTAGAAATTCCCATAAAATCCGACAGCGTTTCAAAATATCGAACGACTTGCCTAAAGTTTTGTGCACTTCTCACAAATTCCGAGATCTGGGAACGTCCCAGAAATTCCAAGAGTTTTCCAGAAGATCTTCAAACGTCCTAGCTGATCCGAGAACTTCCCAGAACTTCCTAAAGCTTAGATTTTTTGCCGAGATGGGTACCATCGAGAAGCATGGCATTTGATTTGACTGGAACTCAGTGAAAAACTTGCCGAGATTCAGCTAAAAACGGGAATTTCGGCGAGATCTTTCCAAAAGAAAAAAAAAAACCGACAATTTCCCAGATGATCTCAGAACTTCTTAGAAATTTTAGAAACTTCCTAGAAAATCCAAGAATTTATCAGAAATCCTGCGAGCTTTCCATAATTTTCGAGAGCTTCTCTAAAAATCCTAGAACTTCCCAGAAAATACGAGAACTTATCAAAAATTCAGAAAATATTAGAGCTCTTTCCAGAAGTCCCGGGAGCTGCACAAAAATTCCTAAAAGCTTTGATTTTTTTTCTGAGATGGGCACCACCGAGCAGCTCGGCATTCTATTTTAGAGGATCTCAGTGAAACACTTGCTGAGATTCAGCTTACAAACAAATTCCTAGAAAATCCTGAGTGCCAGAAATTCTGAGTTCTTTCCATAATTTGCAAGAGCTTCCCATAAGTTCCAAGACTTTCTCCGAAGGTCTGAGAACTTTCCAAAAAATCCGTGTATTTACAACAAATTTCCAAAACTTCCTAAAAATTTTGAGAGCTTTTTATAAGACTCATAAACTTTCCACAAGATTCAAGAACGGCGCAGAAATTCCGAGAACTTTCCAGAGTTTCCGATAACTTCTACAGAAGATGCGAGAACTTCCTGAAAATTTCAAATTCTTCCCATCAGTTCTAAGAGCTTGCCACAAATTCTGCAAACCTCTTAGAAGATTTGCGAATTTCTCAGAAGATCCGAGATCTTACTAGAAATTCTGAGGACTTCCCCAGAACTCCCCAGAATTTCCGATAGATCCTGACAAGATTCGTGTACTACTTAGAACATCCGAACTACCCACGATATCGATTTTCCCCACACAAACTTCAAGCCGTTTGAGCTAGGGGTTCCCGTGAACCAAATGACTTCTAATTTCAGCAGGGTGTTTCTGACCTTCCAAACTACTATTCCAGGGGGTAGCGTTTGAAATTCCAGACTTTGACTTTTTTTTTCATATGGCGCTGAAACACTCTAGTGAGTAGTTCGTTCCAAGAACGGTTCAGAAGAATCTTGAGGTTCCTAGGAATTCCGAGAATCTTCCAAAAATTCCGATATCTTCCCAAAAGATCGGCAAGTTCATAGAAGATTCCAGAAATTCTGATAGCTGTGCAGAAGTCCTGCAATTTTTCTAGTAATCCCAAGCACTTCTCAGAAATTCAAAGTATTTTACAGTAACTAAACAAACGTCCCAGAAATTTCGAAATCTTCTAAATCATTCGTAGATTTTTTCAAGGAAAAGTGAATATTTAGGGAACCACAGTGATGAAAAGGAAACTTCAAGGATGCCCAGAGAAGATCAGATTTGAGTGAAAGTTCCGTGAGCGTTTAGGAAGTTTTCAAAACTTCAGGAAAATTATAGTAAATTAAAGGCAACTCAGTAAAATTGCGGACACTTATAACACAAACTGAGCAATTCAAGGCAGTCTAAAGAACTGTACGGAAACTCATAAATCTTTTGGACAGTTTTAATAACAACTAGACGATTGAATTTAAGGGCAGTTCCAAGAATAAGCGAGACAGTAGGAAGTCTTACGATGGCCAAGTCTCAGACCACACTCCAGAAGCCGAGTGGAAATTTGTGATCGATATGAGAACTTTGTCTTAATCCAAAAAAAAAAAAAATGAGAGAACGTTTCCGAAAATTCTGGGAAGTAGAGACATTCCAGAAAAAGGGGTTGGTAGGAAATGCCAACATGAAGCTTTAGTGTGATAATTTATTAGCAAGAGAATGATCTTAAGAAGAGGGTTGGTGGATAGTTCCGTTAGAGTACGTCAGTATAAAAATTGAATAGAAGTTGAAAATGAGCGAAGGGCCATTAATGCGACAGTTTTTAAAGTCAGACGCACATCTTTTGCCTAACCCGTACGATGTATGCGGGGACTTGAAGTATGTCTTCAAGTCTACAGGCAAAAGATGTGCGTCGTTCTTCTGCTCATAACTGACTGCGGGTGTGGAATAGTTCTAGCGACGTTTCATCACTACCTAAAGCCCCACGTTTGCGAGAGCATTTCCAGTCGATGGTGTGTTAAACTTCAAAAGCTTCACAGAAGTCCAGATATCTTCAGAAAAACTTTTAGAACTTCATAGAAGTCTATGGAATTTTAGGGAAGATCCGAGAAGTCAATGAATGTTTCATGAACATTTGGAAAATGTGGGAATATGTCAAAGAAGTTTCTTAAGCTCAAAATTGCGAAAAATTTCAAAAAGTTCCCAAATTTCCTTGGAAATTCTCCAATTTTCAAAGAACTTCAGAGATGAAATGTTTTTTTTTGTGTTCTCAACATAAGTTTAGTGAACTTCACGGAAGCTTATAATTTTTTTCGACAGTTTAATTCAATTCATGGCAGTACAATCAGCTTCACGAGAATTGCAAAAACGTTTAAGGACTTTCTAGAATTTCAGAAAATTCATTAACTTTAGGCAAATAACAAAGATTTAAAATAAAAGTTTTGAGAACTTCAGTGAAATGTTAAAACATCAGTAGTAGTAGTAGTAGAATTCTCGAAAAATTGCGGAAATTACATTGCCGTGATATGAGAAAGTGACGTAAGTGCCACCAAGTTCGATTTTCACTTTTCACCATATTCGAGTTCTTCATTCTTCATGACATCCAAAAACACTTAAGACTTGCACAAAATTTGATTTTGAAGCAAAATGATAGTGTGACGCTAGCTATACTTGTTCGAAAAAGCAATGAAAATGTTTCACTGTTTCTACTCATAAATGACGTCGCTGCAGGAAACAATTTAATGGAAATTCAATATAAATTGTTTGACATTATCTACATCAACGAATGATCGTTCAGAAACATCGAGAAGATGTTTTTCATAAACCACCCAGACAGCACAATAACTGATAGAGCCAATCTCGCAAGATAATCACAACCAATTGCCAACTTATCTCCACTCAAAAAAAAAAAACACTGACTCACCTGGTGCAGGGTTTGACATTCTTGTACACCGTCTCCCCAACCTTAATCCACTTCCAATCGTCTTCCTCGAACGCCCCGGGTCCCTTGACGACAAAGTTCGGCCGGTACTGCAGTGCCGTCACCGGTTTCTCCAGTTTCGCGTTCACATCCGTCACCGATGCTTCGGACAGCAGCATATAGCTGGTGGCATCATGCAGCGCTCCCGAGTCCCTCGGTGTCAGCTTCAAATGGATCTTGTTCTTCGGGCGCACATCCCGCGTCGGGAAGTCCAACGGATAGAACACCAACCGGAGGCCAAAGTCTTCGCTCAGGATGAATCGGGAAAGCCACCGGGCTACTTCCTCGCCACAGTCCACGGCCGTCACGGTCTGTCCCCATACGGACGCCTTGACCGGTTCGACCGTGAGCAGTCGCTTCACGTCGACGCTGATGTCCATCATGCCCGGGGCGGAAAGGGTCATCGTCTCGAACTGGTCGTCGAACCGGGGCTGCACCAGCACCAGCGTCGGATGACTTCGCCCGGTAATGAAGGTTCCATCCGTTTGGACTACCATGAAGATTCGGTCCCTTAGTAGTCCCACCTGGGGACCCAGGTTTGAGCAGTGAATTTCACTCACGCGCACCGAGCCACATGATTTGATGGGGTACACGTGAAGATCCGTTATCTCACCAACGCGGCGCCATCTGTCAGATTTGAGCAAAATTGAAATTATATAATAACTCAAGACAAATTCAAACGTCCTACTTACTGACTCGGCGGTACGTTTTCCAGGTACTTCTGAACCAGCTTGTAGATGCCGTACCCGGCCAGGGTAGCTGCACCGACTCCTGCTGCTAGGAGCAGTGCATTGCGCGTTGCACTGCCACCGGAGCTAGTCTCGTCGAATATTTCTATTTTCACAAGGAAGACTTCTTCGATAGTTCAAATGGATGGAGAAAAGAGGATGAATTCAAATTCAAATGCCGTGTGTGAATTTTACCCATGCGATTTGCGAGTCCAATAGGATAAGCAGATGAAGGAATATACGAAAATGTGTGTTTGAACTAGCTAAATACTATCTACTGGATTTGTATGGTCAATGATAAGAAAACAAACTACGAATGAAGATTCGAGACGAACAACTTACTGGACATCATCTCCGGTGTGGTTCCCGTGGTAATGTGACGCTTGAAAGTGAATGGAATCGAACAGAAATCGATCATTATTGGCGACGTATTTTTCGAATGGAGTTAGAACCGAAGAATGGAAAAATGATAAGACTTCACCCGTGCCGAGAAGGTGATAATTGAATGAGCAAACATCGCCCCAGTTTTGCAAATCGTGCGACTTTGAGCGTGATGCGATGATAGTACGCATCTTCGAATGAGCCGAAAACACCAACTCTACTCACTTGTTTTCAATTGGCCAAAAACGCTGCTGTGATGAAACTGATGCGAAGAATAGACGGTAGGATGGGATAGAGCCAACTCCGAATGGAATTAGATAAGATACCACCGGAGAGGAAGCGAACCCTGTCTTATCTCTGTGATAACTTATCGACTTAACACAATTGGCTCGTCCTCGTTCGTTGCTTCAACCGGTGTTTTCGGTCGGTTGTTTGTGTGGTTTATCGATTGTTATTTTGCAAACAAACCAGCTGCAGTCACCCGATGACAGAAGCTGCAGTTTGTTGTGAATGTGTTGGTTTGGGGCAGTGTTGCTGATGCTTTTTGCAAGAATTACTTTACCTTTGTAAGGCTTTCAATGGGAAATTCATGCATTGGTAAAATTATTGTATTTCAACGTTTTAAAACTTACTTGCTCAAATTTTTTGATGAAATTGAAAACTTGAATTACAAGCTTTATAATCATAAAAGTAGAGAGTCGGCTTGAAAAGCGTCAACAGAACTTTATTTATTTATCTTATAAGAATCCGTGTTTTTTTCTATCCATATATGAATTTTGACGTAGGACTACGTCTGTGATTACTATATGGGGATACACTTTGTGAAAACAGAAAATGGAACATGTAACGAAATTAAGAAAGACTTTGAACGTTAATAACTCAGTTGATCCTGGACCAATTTCAATAATTTTATCACCAATCGATCAGATATATTTCTACGCATCTGTGAAATTTAAGACTTTACCATTTTTCAAAATGTCGCTTTTGAAAATTGCACGGATGTGCAACTGTTGCTTTGATAATTAAAATTATCACCAATTGCCTGTGAAAAGCGTTTTCCCTAAAACAGATGTCAAAGTTGAATTCCATCAATTGAATTCAGTCATCGCGTGGCGAGTGGTGGTGTTCTCCAGTATACGACGAAAAGCAGGCTGTAAGCAGTGTGCTACAGCCCACATGAGCATCTATAGAAGGAGGAAGAAACCGCACCGCTATTGATCGGGATCAGTAGCTCTTCGTGAATTGCTGTGGGCCATCTATGTCAAGCGTGTCATACTAAAGAGTATAAACAGAGATAACCCCGCTCAAAATCCTATTCCTACACAAAACACAATCTTCTGCTGCAGTTAACAAATAAGATTTATTGTATAAAACCACGTAGTCCTACGTCACCATTGCGTACAACCCCATAGGGCTGTTTCTTGTAGTTTTGTTATCTAAAATTCTACGAAGGATTTTGTACTTTCGCAATGTTTCTTAAACACAAACTCTTTTCCATCAAATCAAACGAAGCTTCTGAACGTCTTTCCAATCTATTCCGCATATCCGAAGTTCCCTTAGCCTATATGAAGTTCCATGAACGTGTGAACTCCTGAGAAGTTCTGTCAACTACTTCGGAGTTTCCCTGTATTTTCTAGATTTTTCCATGCGTCATAAGAACTACAACTGATTTTTTAAACTTGTACGAATTTCCTATTCAGCATTTTACGAGCGCTTATGGCCGCCACAATCTGGCTGAGTTTTTGGTAGGGAACATATGATTTGACGTTTGAGTTGTGTCGTTTGACGTGTAAACGTTGAAATTTGATCGTTTACACGTCAAACGACACAACCCAAGCTTCAAATCTTATGTTCCCTACCACAAACTCAGCCACATTGAGGCGGCCATAAACGATCGTAAAATACTGGATAACTTACCTAATATTCCGGGAAAGTCTACACATTTCCCTTAACTAACAACAAATTATGAGCTTCTGCGAAGCTCCCTCTCTCAAGCACCATATAATGTTTTTAATTCGACCAATATTTCAGAGTAGCCATGAAACCTTAACCTTTTCTAAGAACTTTCCTGAACAACTGGGCTAACGGAAGTTCCCAAAACTTCCAGTTGATTGAGATTTTTCTCTGATAAACTGCTACGAAGATCCTTGAAGTTGCAAGAAGTTTAATGAACGGTTTTTCCTGAGCTTCTACAAAATTTCCTAAATTTCTGCGAAGATCGCTGAATTCCTACAAAGTTTGCCAAACTTCCACAAAATTCCTTGGACTTTAATACATTTCCCTGAAATTCTATGAATTTTTAAAGAATTTTCTCGAATCTCTACGTAATTTTACAAAGTTTACTGAGCTCATATGAAATTCGCTGCACGTCCACAAAGTTTTCTGAACTTTTAAGAATTTTGTTGATTTTTTGCGGAATTACGTTAAGCTCTACAAACATCTACGGCATTCACTAAACTATTACAAGCCTTGTATTATTACTACGTTCAGTTCGAGGTCGAATATTATAAATCACGAAGTGGTCACATTTTATCAACTAGTTGACTTTCTCGCAGGAATACCAATATTTTTTCTTCAGCGTTGGTATGATTGCATAGGATTTCTCGTATGGATCCAGGTAAGCCGACGGTTTTCCGACAGTTTTCGTAGACTGGACAGAAAACGAGCAGATGTTCCACAGTTAGGCGACACTGACATACTTCGCATTGAGGGGGGCTGCAGGTATTTCCTATGTAATGAGCGTGAGTGAGTTTGGTAAGTCTGACTCTCAATCGGGATAAGATCCTTTGTTCTTTCCGCTTTTTTCTGTCGTTCCATTTCTCTACGTTTCCTTTCATTTTTTAAAAAAATAGTTAGGTTGCGTTTGACCACAATATGTTCCAGGCATATTTTATAGATGACACTATGTGTTTTCAAATATCGCCGCCGAGAACTGCAAGTCTATCGGCTTCTTCATTCCCGGTGATTCCCTTGTGCCCAGGAATCCAGCAGAATATTACGTTGGGGTTATTACGCATATCTATAGATTGTAACCAAGGGTGCCGCGATTTTCTACTTTCAATAGATTTCAGAGCACTAGCGGAATCGGTGAAAATCACTGTATTCAACGAGGATATTGATGCGGCTGTTTCTGCAGAGAAAACAGGGTAGTCGGAGTGATATACTTATATCTGTGCCAATTAGGCCAAAAACCACTCTGTTTCCGGCTTTTGAGCCATCCGTATATATTTTAATGTGGGATCCGTAGTTTCTCGCAACAAGTGAATTAAATTCTGCTTGTATTTTCGATGGGGGATCACTCGTTGAAAGTATGAGCTTAAGTCGCCAATCAATTCGGGGGATGGGGTCATTCCATCTGCTATCACTTACTCGCATCAATGGTAAGGCTGTTGCGAGTTGATTTCCAGTAAGAGTGTGGTACAGATTTTTAGCTACCGTAATTAAGAGGTTTTTAGAAGGTTTGGAATTTCGTTCATTGTAGAATATTGAGCGTTTACTAATGACGAGAGCAACCAGATAATCGAGTTGCAGGACTCCTGCCTCAGCGCACGCGTATTTTGATGGTGATGATGGAAGAAGACCACCCAAGTAACAATTTTGGTTTTATGAGGGTTCTGTAGACCATGATTTAGACTTGTAGAATGCTATAAAACCGCGATAAAACCTGCAATATTACTTGGGCAGAGGCTTCACGAACCATTTTGTTGTAAAATAGTGCAAGCGACTTAATCAATTGGGTGAAATTTCGGCATGTGACCATAGAAGATTTTTGCCAAAATTAAGCTGCTTCCCACGTTCATGATTGTGCTTCGATTACTGGTGGACTGGCATCTACCAATAGTCTGCAGTAAGCAAGTTTGCTTTTTTAAATCGGCTCTTAGCTGTTCAAAGTGGTGATTACGCGAAAGATGTCGATCTAGATACTCGCCAAGTATTTTAACGACTTTTCGGTACGGGATGCGCACGTTTTCCACCGTGACTTCACGTGACCAAGGGATATGTCTATGGTTACATACATTGGAGATTGCGCATTTCTCTGCTGCCATTTCGAATCCGCTAGAGTTAGCCCATCTAGCAACTGCTCTAATAGCTGCTTGCAGTTTAATACGGACTCGGGTAGCATTTGTCCCAAAAACGACTAAGACTATATCGTCTGCATACACGAATATCTGATCATCTTTGGGAAGACATTTGAAGAGGGGCTCCATGGCGATCAAGAACAGTGATACGGTCAAAACCGATCCTTGAGGGACTCCATTTTCCTCTATGTAAGAGCACGACGACTGATTTCCGACAGCAACTTGGAAAGTACGATCGGACAAAAATGATTGGATGAACTTTGGTAAGCTACCATGGAATCCCCATTCCTTAAGCTGATGGAGAACGCCTTCACGCCACACCCGATTGCAAGCTTTTGAAAGATCGAGAGTCGCTATGTCGATGTGCACTAGGGTGTTTCATTTTGAAAAAAGTGATGAATTTTTGATAGGCCACCCTCCAGTTCGATTCATAGCCCCAAAATATGAACCTGTGCAAAAAATGGTAAAGATTGATGAAGGTTTAGAGGTCGCGCCAATGATTTGGATTTTGTATGGAGATTTTGGTGAATTAGTATGGGAAATTATTGATTTTCGTTTACATTGCTCTAACTTTGGTTGTAGTTGTCCAAACGTTGAAAAAAAAAATATGTGGTTGTCATGACAATGATCAACAAGCCTGTTGTTGTTGCGATGAAATTGGCGTTGTTGTCTTGTACATATTCATCTGTCAATTTACCCTATTTTGCCATTTTTTCACATTTTTATAATTCTTGATACGCTGCAAAACTGAGCGTAGCAACTGTAGGCTTTTTGTTTATTGCCATAGCAATAACATACTAAATTTTTTCGACATTTGGACAAGTAGAAGCAAAGTTATAGCGATATAAGCGATTTTTTAAATTCTTCCATAGTAATTCCCATACAAATTTCAAATCATTGGCGCGACCTCTAAACCTTCATCAATCTTTACCAATTTTTGCACAGGTTCATATTTTGGGGCTATGAATCGAACTGGAGGGTGGCCCATCAGAAATTCATCACTTTTTTCAGAATGAAGCACCCTAATGTGCACGTTTTCTAGCATGTTTTGTAGCTTGGTCGAGTGCACTTCCTAGGTCCGCCAAGTATGTTGATGGTCCACGACCTCGGCGAAAAGCATGCTGACAGATTTCATACCTTGAGGCATAAGATACTTTCGAAGCGAGTCATCATCAACGTCTGTAGAATCTGGTTCGTAAACCACTCCTTGCACGACGTTAAGCGTAGGGTGGGGGA